TTTGAAAAGCTGAAGACAATTAAAAAAAAAACAAAAAAGATTGTGGTAGTAATTTTTAACTGTCATAACAACGATATATTTCTGCATCTAAACTCTTTAATTACACATCAAAGCCTCGGCCCTAACTGCTTTCTTACAATTTCAACAATCCAATAAACAAGTTATGCAATCAAATAACTTAAAGTTTTGTTATTTTTTTTTCTTCTGTCCTATTTTTTGTTATTTCAATGTAAATATATGTATCAAATCTGCAAAAATAAAAAATTATTACCAATCCTTGAACATGCACATAGATGTTCACTCATCGCAGTTAACATGTTTGAGAGACATATTTGACTAGAACACTGCATGAGACCCAAAACAAAGAGATCGCACCATTTTCGCTTCATTACTTGTTCCAATACCGTCGTACTAAAGATCAAGAAAAAATAAATAAAACTACAAATAGAAAAAAGAGAAAAAAAAAGAAACCAATAACAACGACAAGGAAAAAAAAACAACCATTCAAATATCCACTAATACAATTGCAATAATTTTGTGCTTTTTTAATGCATTCTATTGCTGCAAAAACCGTATATCCGTTTGCCGTTTAACAGTGACAACAACACAAAAGAAATACATGAAAAAATAGGTGAAAACAACCGAAATACTTACTTTGAACTGACGGCTTTAACGTTTTTCATCCAATGTACAGACAAAAATAACAATCTTGAAGCTGTTTCGCATACATATTGTATATTTAACTCACGAGGCATTGGCTGCGGTACGGGCAAATCAAATTTTGCTCGCTGAAAAATTTCAATCACCTTAGTCACCTGTATCAAGCCAACAGTAAATATCAACAACTAATCTAACATTTAGTCCATTTGAACTATTATACCGCATAGAAGTACTGTGATTGTTATGTTGTTAGGATCAAAAAGTCAAAAAAAATTATTTTAACAAAGCAATAAAGGAAATTGACAAAAGTATTTTACTGAAACATAATGATCAAAAAAAAAGCCTTTTTTTTTACTGATATTCCTTTACCTCGGCATTCATCAAACAGCTATCATCTGATATAAGTGACGCAGCTGCGCTAGACGATGGCGACGAAGATACAGATGCTCCAACTGCAGTAACATCAATTCCTGACTCATCCTCCCCAACAGATTCCTGCAAAAAAAAAAAAAAAGAAAAAGCAACATGTGTATAACAATAATTGAAGATATATCAAATAGTGCGTGCATTAAATAATGTCGATATTATTATGTGCGACAAAAAAAAAAAAGAAAAGAAAATTTGCAGAAAGAAAAAAGCCTACTCGTTTAACTGTTTTAGCAAATGGTTCTGGACTGACTGATGGTTGCCGTTGAGAAGACATTGGACTACTGCCTCCGACATCAAGTATATCCAAATTTTTATTGTCATCATCCTTGAACAAATAAAAAATTTAAAAATTTTCTGCATAAAAACAAAGACAAAACAAAAAAAGGTTTTAACAGTAATAATAATAATAATAATAAT